CAGCATTCTATGCCTGTCTTCATATTCATCAGTGTCTGTTGAATCTTCATCCTCATCCATAGCACATTCATTATGATTGGTTTCCTAATGAAAAAACAGCTCAGGTTCAGAGATTCCTCCAAAAACTCCCAACGAAATGCCATTTTTGGTACCCTAAAGTATTACTCAGAACAGTCTGTGAACCCTGTAGACCTTTCACAACTATAATTTTGAGCAGAGTATATTATTTCTGTTTTTTAAAAAGGTCTTATCTATTACAGGACGTACCTCTGGTTGCTAAAATCAAAGTGTGGTATGAATATCTGTTTAAAACACCTTACAGTCTTGATTTCACAAGAACCCCTGTGAGGTAGACCAGTACTTCCTAGGAAAAGGAGAAACTACTACACTGAAATGTGCTTATGTAACTTGAAGGTTTAACTACCTTAACCTGTTGTATGTAGTGCTGTCCTTGAAGACTCCTCAGAAATTTTAGCTAGGTTTAGCTAGTGCAGAATGCGGCTTCCTATGAATTCAGCCTATGCTATACCCATTGCACCGGCAGAAAGTATGTGTCTGGTCCAATTTGAGGTGCTAGTGCTTTAAAGCCCTTCACAGTATGGGATCCAGATTTCTTAGAAACCAGTTCTTCCTATGTGTACCCCTATGCCAGATGTACTCTTCTAATTTATATTCCAATAATGCTTTAAGCAAGGACTTTAGTAGTCAGAAGGAGGGCCCCCACTGTAATTACCCCCAAACTACTGAATAATCTTCCATCAATTCAGAGTTCATATGTTTTACTCTTTTTAGAAAGGGTTGCATGTTATACCTTTTCACTTGGCTTTTTGAGTGGCAAGCTAAATAACAGATTAACAGACAATCCAATGCTGTCATTTTAGTTTTGTTTCTATAGCTATTTAAGATTTAAATTGAATATTCTTTTTTTGAGTTGTGGAACCACAGATACAAATACCCTAAATAACTCCCAACTAAATGACATTTTTGGTACCAATATACCTAAAAAGTATGAATCACATCAGAAGTCCTATAAATTAGTGCCTCATGTTGAATGCAGTTATTAGTGTTGTTTTAAAATTACAGAAATATAGGGAATATGTTCCAACATTATATCAACATATTAAAAAGTCTGTAATTCCTCAAGATGCCTAAAAAGTGTATCATGTGCTGCAAACCTTGTTACCATTGTGTGTCCAGTTTAAAAACATTTTTTGAAGGGTTCTCATTCAAAAATGGCCTTCGTTCTACACACTAGGAAGTAAGTCAGGGAGCATGATTTAATCCACCCGGTTATTGATTGAACAGGGCTTGAATCCACTTTTCTCTGATTTAAGTCCAACACACTAGCCAACTTTTTAAAATGGAGTGCGGCAGAAGGTTTTGTTGAAGTTGCATATAATAATGTTTTAAAGGAAGAAAGCAAATTAAAGATCCTGAGAATAAGCAACAGTTTCCCCAACTTACCATGCGTGCTGTGGATACCTTGAATGTTGGGCAAACCATATGAAATCTAGGAATGGTGACATTAAAAAACTTGTCTTTGTAGTAGAGACAATGGAATGTATAGTATCCCTCCATATACCCTGATGTAGTGGCAAATGTTGTACAGCTAGTATATTCATAAACTCGGCCAGGGCTTATTATTGGAAATTCTCCTGTAAAGCAAAAGTAGTAGACAACTTCAAATTTTGGAGTCCAAAATATAGGTGATGCTACTTAACATGAAGAATTTGACAGATCCAGATGGTCAACTGTGTTGGTCTGAAGCAGTAGAACAAATTTAGAGTCCAGTGGCACCTTTAAGACCAACAAAGGTTTATTCAGTGTAAGACACCCTGAGCCTGTTCGCGGGGAGGGCGGGATATAAATGTAACAAATAAAAAATAAATACATTCAAGGTATGAGCTTTCGTGCGCAAGGCACACTTTTCAAATACATTAGAATGGTAGATGAAGTTCTAAAACTTATAGACAGGGATTTAACAGCAAATTAACATGTAACATGGTGATGTTTAAGTCATGCAAACCTGACATCAGGAATCACAAGACTGAGAAACCTGTAGGAGAACAATATGTTGTCAAAGGCTTTCATGGCCAGAGTTCATTAGTTGTTGTAGATCTTCCAGTATGTATGGCTGTGGTCTTGGCACTGCAGTACCTGACGTTTTGCCAGCAGCTGTGACTGGCATCCTCAGAGGTATAACACAGAAATATGGAGTACTCTCTGTGTCAATGTGAGAATGCCTACCATTTTTCTTCTCACCATGACAGAGAGCACTCCATCTGTCTATGTTATACCTCTGAGGATGCCAGTCACAGCTGCTGGTGAAATGTCAGGTACTGCAATGCCAAGACCACGGCCATACAGTCCGGAAAATCTACAACAACTGTAGGCAAACACTTTAACCTTTCAGGAAATTCAATGTATGACCTCAAAGTAGCTGTTTTATTACTAAGGAACTTCAGGAACAGAATGGAAAGGGAAATTGTTGAATTACAAGTTATTATAACACTTGGAACAAAAGCCTCCCCAGGACTCAACAGGGATATTGGATTTTTATCCCATTACATACACTAACTCATTCAGTCCTCACATATGTATTCTCAACAAGAAGGACTATAAATCCTCTGTATTTTAGTGTATTTCTTTTTCAGAATAGTATATTAGAATACTGAATGCAAGGAATATTGGGATGTCTGCTGACAACATTACATCCAGCTCAAAAACTGGTATGTCCTCCACACCTGAGAGGAGATAATTAAGATTCTGTTTCTTCTTACAATTAGGAAAAAACACCTCTACACATTTATCTGCTGTTCTGACATATTTATTGCTTTACAGCTGTTGACCTTTAACTTATTTAGTTTTTCATTTTTCATGACTTAAACATCACCATGTTACATGTTAATTTGCTGTTAAATCCCTGTCTATAAGTTTAGAACCTCATGTGCCTTGCACACAAAAGCTCATACCTTGAATAAACCTTTGTTGGTCTTAAAGGTGCCACTGGATGCAGAATTTGAAACATTCAAACTCTAACAAGTTTAGAATTGTAGTTTTATTTCAACAAATTATTACATGCATATGAACATTTACATATAAAAACCAGTTTAATGTTCTGTTTGGGCAGAGAAAAATATTTGCATACTGCACCTTTTAAGACAATATTGGTTTCATATTTTTACCTGACCCTCTGGTTTACATAAAACATTGCAAGAAGAAAGGCTGGAGCCTGCCGGACCATTACTCTCTTGAAAGTCTGGCTCTGTTGGTTTTGGGTGGTGGTGGTGGTGGTGGCTGGGAACACGAGGTGGATTCTAAGGGGAATAACTTGTTCAGAGTACCACCTTAACCACTGTACTAACACTTATAGGCAAACGTACTAAAATGATCTTTGCACTTCTTCTGCCCCAACTCCTGTATCCACCAGCATTTATTATTTAAGGTAGTTGGAAATCACTTCTCCAAAGAATTCCTGAAGTGATACACCATGAGACGGGTACATAAAATACAGTAATCACAATAAGTATTTGATAAAATCAGTAACAGAGGTCTCACAAACCTAAATGGTTCTTATTATGAAATACCCCTGCCAGTCAATGAACACAAAGATTACACCATGTGCGAACACAGTTCCAAACAGCATTATCTTGGAACAGAAAAGCATCACTTACCTACAACTCCTGGGCCCTGAACCTCCTCTACATCACCTTTGGCATTAGTTATTCTCCAGTATCGACTGTCCAGTTGACAAGCCTTCTCTGGAAGTGCATCTTTGGACATTTCAATTCTAACAAGTTAGACAAAGTATTCATTTTAACATGATGTCATTCCCATAGCAAAGCTTCCCCACAAATACGCCACTGAAATTTCTAAGAATACTATCTAGAATGTGTAACTGCTTCTAAAGGTCTCTGACTTGGAAGGGAAGGAGAAGGAATGATGCTGTGGAGGATGACAGTGCTCATCTTGTTACTTTCAAAAGTGAGTCTAGATGTTCATTGCACTGCCAAGAGTTCAAAAGAACTAACACACAAAAGGAAAGCAATATGTTAAACTACTGTGTAGGGATAGGATTACATTACTGATGTGCACTGTTTACAATAAAAGTGCTATATTAATAAGCCCCAACCATGAGAGGTATAATGAAACAAACAAAAGCCTCTCTATCATCACCAACAGACAAAGTTTGTTTACTACTGTTACCTGATTCTGTAGGTGAAGAAATAGTGAGGTGGATGTATAGAACTGAGTTCAGGTAGAAATGATGTAGAGACTGAAACAGTAATGTCGCCTGTTCTTGCGACACAATCTTTATCATGGACATATCTAGAAAAAAATAAAAAAATGAAAGTATCTCATACAATAGTAAAAAGAGATGAATATTGAAAAAGAGTTCAGTGTAGAAGCCACCAGTTAACATGACAATTAATGCATTTTACTGTTCAAACAGAACTGCTGTAAAACTATGTCTATCCTACCTACTACAGCCTGAACAACCTGCACACTTGAATAGCGAAGTTGTTGTTTGCATTAATTTACATTCTGATACTCCACTTCTCTAGAACACAACACTCGGTGCATCAAATAAACCTGCAAGCTGCAAGCTTTATTCAAATGGCACAATTATTTTACTTCAAGGGTTGTTTTTTTTAAAATAAAAAAACAACACCTCTTTTTGCTAAAAAACAACAGTAAACATCTTCTGGAGAAGACTCTCTGGCGAAGCAAGGGGCTACTGCTCCAAAAAGTCCCTATAAACTAAGGAAGAGACGAGAAAAAGAGAAATAGAGGCTGAAGGACTCTGAAATGTGCCTTGAAGTTAAATTTGTTAAAGAAAAGAACTTGACTCAATTCATATTGACTTAAACGAGTTATGATTTACTGTAACTAAGCTTTTTTGAGGATCTCCTCTCTTGGGTTTTTAGGTATTAGTTGGTTTCTTTCCTTTTCCCCAATATATGTAGTACCCTATCCCTATTATTTTCTGTAGTATTGTAGATTTATAAAAATAATAAAAAATCCCCTCCGGGAACTTCAAAAAACAAAACAAAACAGTAAACCACAAGACATAAACATATCAACAGTCAAACTGCAAGAAAGCCACATTTCTAGCAGAAGCTACCGACATTATGATGCCAAACAAATGGCCAAATTAGCAGACACTTGATGTTTCAGCTGAAGGCAAAGGGCTGTAACATCCAAAAGGGGAGGTTGTGCAAACTGTAAAGGATTTACTTCCCATAAACATCCACATACTTGGCTTGCTGCATACTTCCATAGCCACACCAGGCTATGTTTAACATGGTTACTGTTAAGAGGGAATTCCTTCTGATATTAACTCAAGGTTACTATAAAGCCCAATTATTAAGCAACAGTTTTTGCTACCATTTGAAGGAAACTGTCATCACCTTCATTTGGAGCAGGAGAAGACACAATTTTCCCATGAATAAAGTGCTACTAATGCCTAACCACTCACGTATAAATGTCTGTGTTTCCTCTTGATAAAACCTGAATTCAAAGATTTGTGAACCTTGTTCCAATCCATCTTCCCCCACATTTCCCTTCCCATAGTACACCCTTTCAAGTTTGGGAATGTTGATTCTGAGATAACAGGACTCAGGGACTAATAACCACACAGGAAGAGTGCACTGAGGAGGAGAGGTGAAATCACCCCTTTCTCTCTCATGCAAGCATCAGCTCTACTGATGCAAAAGGCAGGAGGATGATCTGAGCACCTTCCTCCTTAAAAGGGGAGTAGATGAATTCATAAAAGACAGATCCATCAGTGGTTACTAGCCATCTGCTGGATACTGTAATTCTGCATGCAAAGATCTGGAGGGAAAGGGCTAAGAGAATTCTCTCTCTCTCTCTCTCTCTCTCTCAGGTACACTTGGCAGTTGGCCCCGCCCTCTCACCCGTTAGAGACATGTTGAGCCTCTTTGGCCCTTGCTTGCCTTCTGTTTCATCTTATATAGGACCTCTCTTCTCTCTCTCTTACCTGGGCTAGAAGCTATAGCAAGTTAACTGTGTGAAATTTATCTGTTCACACTGTTAAATGTGCCTATATGAATGAGTCGTGTAAGATGTGCTTCTATTTTTGTAAGTAAAATTTCTTTCTCTTGTTACCACTGGAGTCAGATCATTTTTGTAATTTGTCTGAATGGCATTTTCCCCTTAACTGGGAAACATGAAAGATCAGGGGTACTGTGTAACATTCCTGTGATTTCAAGGCAAATAATTGTTTTTACACGTAACCCAAAAATGAACTCGTAAAACGTAGGTGCAACAGTGGCTACTAGCTATCATGACTGGTTACTACTAGACTAAGGGGAAACCCAGAGGTACTGTCCAGAAATAGTGAAATTCTGAATTCCAGCGCTAAGAGGCAACAACAAGGGAAGGTCTGGCCTCTTGTTATCTAGTCATTTAGGACATCTAGTTAGCCACTGCGTGAAACAAGTCGTTGGACTAGATGGACCACTGATCTGATTCAGCAGGGTTGCTATAGTGTTCTCACTGCAGACCATCATCCGTGTAGCTATTAGCACATAGATCCTATAATCCTAGGATTCCAATTTCCTGGAGTCAGAAGAGATTGTTCAGAAAAAGAAACAGAAGAAAGATCTATGACCGCCAGTACCTTCCACTGATAGATTGCTACATCCAACCTCTTAAAAGAGGGCTGTTTGTTTCTGCATAATGCAGTATACAATTCTTTTTTAGCACAGCCTTCTCACACACCATCTACACAAGGTTGCTACAGTGTATCTCCCTCAGTTTTAATAGAATACTGCAAGTCAGGAGTTATAGCTCAAAGCCACAGTACCTGAATATCTGGTCTCTGATGATGGGATAGCCTCCAGTTACTACACTGTTTACATAGGAGGTGAACCATTCCAAATAAGAACTACCTAAATGTCAAAAGATGGAGAGATATTTTTACAAGGAAAGAAAGCCAGCCAGTTGATTATCAATATCATAAAATAAAATTTGCTGAGTTTCCTATATGAGTAGGTAATCTTCTCTTGTTCTATTTTACCACAATGAGAAGTTCAGGCTCAGTGGTTACTAATACTCAAGCCACTTCTCAATACAAAAGGGAATATTTTACACATGAATGAGTTCCTACAACAATTTAACTAGACATGCCAAACCATATTAGGGCCAGTTCTTTTCCCACTGCCATATGATATTGCCTTCAAGAATTATCATGAGAATCATGTTTGTATGGGTACACCATATAATATACACATAAGCCTACTGTGAATTACTTTACAGGCCAAGAGATACAGTCAGCAGCCAATTAGTATACAATTCTGTTCCCTTTCTTTAGAATATTGAAGAAAACCACAGACATACAAGATACTTTTTTCAAAGAGAAAAGGAAAAAAGATCTCTATTGCATTTCAAATTTACAGACTTACAAAACAGAATATTAGGCCAAGTTATTGCGCAATCATCATGGCTCTGGGAACTCTGGTCAGTGCTTCTCTCCCACAAAGCAGCAAGATGGGGTACGGGAATATGCTATACGGCAGTAGACAGGAGAGCTTCCTCTTCCTCATCCAGTGCTCTCCCCCCACCACACACACACAAACACACACACACACCTGCATCTAGCAGCTTCCTGGGAGATGTTGACAAGCAGCAGGAGGGAGAAGGGTTAAGCACCATATATCCGGCTATCTCCTCATCAGTGTTGCAGACCAGCATTTATCTAGTGAGTACTGGTATGGGTCCCCAAGGATGTAAAGGGTGCCACAACGCTCTCCCTTTTGTTTTTGGGGTGTTAAGGGAGAAATATGAAAAATCAGTGACTGCCCAAAGAGTTAAGCATTGCCTTGCCCCCAGTCCTTCAAATCATCCCTCATGCAGATGCCTTGCAAAGGAGTGGGAGCCATCAGGGCTTCATTTTGGGATGCTTGCAGTATAAGGTACTGCTTGCTCTTAAGTATGCAAGTGGCCACCATATATAATCACTGCTTATTTACAAATGAGCTTGCAATGGATTTGTTGCAGTGTCCTCAAATTACAATACAACATTTCTTCTGTAAACTATTTCGCATTCAAGTTCCAAAATAATTTTACCTGTAATAAACATATCAATTGCAGAGGGGTTTCGGGCCATTTGATCCTTTGGAGAAAAAAGGGAGGGAAAGAAGAGAAGAAAAAAGTTTATCCGTATCTCAAAATGGATTCTCAAGAGACATAATAAGATTTCTACATGACAATAAGATTTCTCACAATAATTGTGTAGATATTTCTAGTCCTAGTCTCAGAAGCACTCGCCATGTTACTGGAGTAATTTGTGAGGTTTAGTTTGCACTCCCAAATCAATTTTGCACACATTCAGCAGTCAAATGCAAGCTCAGATTCATTCTGTTGATAATATCAAATTGTGGTGTCCATTTTATAAAGCAAAAGCCATGGCTTTTAAGGTGTTGTTTAATTTACGCTAGTCCATAAAAATCAAGACGTATGTTTGAGTAAGCAGGTTAGTAACTTTTGTGAACTTGTAAACTTGCAAGGCTGAATGAATACATGCTGTAAAACACAATGAGCTACTGGGAAGCAGATTGATATTTTGTAAACCTTGGCTGTGCACTCAACAAAACTATGAAACTGACACTGTAGTTCAACATGTTGATGCGCAATTTTAAAGCAGGACTTGTATTTCAAGATGACTAAACAGAACTTCAGATGTATAACTTATCGGTTATACAGGACCATGCTTTCTCACCACTTAAAAATGTGCAAAAAACCTCTTCATTCCATTCAAGCACCATAAATCAAGCAAAAGTGTTTCTATATCCAAATAATATAGCAAAGCCATAACCAAAAACAGAATTATTCATCCATGTAAAGATATTACATTATTTCTGTTCCCAAAAGGCTTGAGAACAAATCTAGAACAAACCCACGTTCTGTTCTTAGGTAGACTCACAACCAAACATTTTAACAGGCTAGTTCTAACAATGAGAAGACAAGAGCCACTAATGCCAGGAAAAGTTGAAGGCAGCAGGAAAAGAGGAAGACCCCACATGAGATTGGCTGACTTCATCAAGGAAGCCATGGCCCTCAGTTTGCAAGACGTGAGCAAGGCTGTTAACAATAGAATGATTTGGAGGTCCTTAATTCATAGGGTCGCCATAAATCCAAAGTGACTTAATAGCACTTAACACACAGTTCTAATCCACATGAAGATGCTACTTCTCCAACACCCCATTTCCAGTTTTTTGGTTACTACCAGCCCCCCATCCTTTCATCAACAGTCCCTCATCTTGGGGCAATTGTGTGAGGTTTCCTGTCCACAATTCAACCAAACTTCCATTGACTTCATTCAAATTACACCCATTACTATTTAATGATTAATCTCCCTTTATTAGTTCAACCATGGGCTTGACAACCAGTTTTTAGACTAGTATTTCTCTCTTATGCACACACAATAACATTGTGTCTATCATACAGTGTATCAGCTTTTGGAGAATTAGTAGCATTAGCCTTCTCTACAAGATCTATTCACAAGTCTCTTACTGGACATTGGTAGAAGATCTCATAACTATTGCGACCCTCCACGCTCTCCAAAGCCATGTACTGACTCAATCCAGTGTGAATGCAAAAGGTTAACGGGAGGCATTGTTTCAATCCAAGCCGCTGCTGAAAACCATCAGCTGCTGTGTCAATGTCCAACAAGTCCTCAGAACGATAATGATTGGAAAGTGCCATACTTCCCATCAAACTAAACCAAAGGGAGGAAGGGGAGGGGAGAAGCAGAAATGTACTTGATTAGTAATTTTTAATACTTATGTATTGGCCAAATATCAAGTAGCAGTTAACAGCAGCTTCCTCACCCTGGAACTACTAGCTTCTGTCCATTATGGATCCGAAATGAACACCGATAGTCATCAGGGAGTTTGCAACCAATTTGTGCTTCTACAGCATCCAGGTCTTCCTCCGGCACACTGTCTGTGAACATTCAAAAACTTAAGTTTTAGCAGATACCTTCAGACAATACAGACAACAATATGGTGTGTTGGAATTCAATATTCAAAAGTGGAGTCAGCAACTGTTCTTTTTTAGGATCAAACCCTCTCTCCTTCACAGATTTTTCCCCGAAATGGATGGGCATACTTATGTCCAAAACATAAAACGTAAAAGCCTCCATGAAAGTTGCTTTGTTTCCAAAACAAACAGGGGTACATGAACCTAATAGGTAAGTTTTAGCATAGTATTCCTCACAATAATTGGGCTTCTTTTTAAGAGAAGCAAGGGAAAGAAGCCTGCCTTAGTTAAAACTGTCGATTTATACAGAGATACAAGACTGTAAAGGAAAGGAAGGCCAACTGATCGTTCACAGACTCTGTCTAGTCCCTCGGAGTGGCCCCACCACTATTTAACTTAACTGTGGTAGATGAGGGGGTAAAAACAATTTACTCAGAGGGAAAGCAAAACTATTTTCAAATCCATAAAAGATATTATAAACTTTAATCTTACAAAAACCAAAGGGACAATACCCAAGCCACTCACACACAAAAGGGTGCCCTAACTATGAAGCTTTATTGCTAAATAGCATCAATTTTTACAGACATCCTGTATGAAGAATACAGAAGTTGACCATATGTGTCCAAAAGGGACTGGCCATGTATTTGTTCACTCTATAAATATAAGCATCCTAAAATGTGTACCTTTTCTATTAATCACTTGGTATCTGAAGAAGTGCAGTGCTAAATGGTAGGAGATGAGGATGAAACTCTGTTCTACATCGTTGGGGGGGGGAAATAACCTTTCATAATTTACAATACAGGGTGCTTGCTTTTCTTGCCACACCTTTTATAATAATATGGATGAAAATTAGCACGCTGGATTATGCAAAATCCATAACTCAGCATCATTTCTACTCAGGTTTCTCGAAACAGAGCTAAGGAGCCCACAACTGTTACCAGCTGAACAAGCAAATGGAAAAAAGTATGCAGTGTTAATTCAATGTTTGAGCTTTGCATTCAATATTCCAACCAGGATGATCACTAACAGATATTTGCTGCTTGACAATTAAGAAACAATCTTTGTAATTTTATACATCTGAGACAAAAATGCAGGCACTGACGAATTTACCCAAGATGTTCACATTTATGTAAACAGTACCTTTCAAAGAGCCAATCATCCGAGGACAGTGCTGTGCTAGATATTTTTCCAAATCATCCCAGGCTTTTTTAAGTGTAGCATAATACTGAATATACCTTCCTAAATCAGTATACATATCCATAAATATTGCCTTCCAGCTCTTATTTCTCTGAGATTTCTCATTTCTAAAAAAGATAAGGAAAATTGTTTATTTTACAACATTTATGCACCACCTTTTGCCCTCACATGGGCCAACAAAGTGCCTAAAAAATAAACAACATTACATAATAAAATCACATCTCGAAAGACATTCAACAAAAAAACATAATTAAAATCAGAGCGAAAATGCATGTACAAAAACATGAAAACAGCAATTAAAACTTTGGGCAGGAAGGAGGGATCACTGAGAAAACACCAAACGAAACAAAAAGCCTTCACCTGCTGGTGGGAAATGGCAACAGAATGGGACAGATGAATCACCCTGGGAAAAGAGTTCCAGAGTTTGGTGCCACGACCCAGAAGGCCCTCCCCCTTGGTTGCCACCCACCTAATCTCAGAAGGCAGGGGGCACTCAAAGCAGGGCCTCAGAGATTACCACAGTGATCAGGAAGGTTCATGAGAGACGAAAGAAACTAGACTACAGTATGCTCATAGTTTTTTCACTCAAAAGCTTCTCACTTCTATTCATTTTCTTTTTCAGCCAATAATTATGTTAAATGAGAAGTTCCAATTTCAGTTAAGTAAAAAAAAACCCTTGAAATACAATCCAGCCAAAACTCAGTACTACAGTTCCCACTGGGTTTTATTTGTCCATGCTAGACATATTCAGGTGGGTAGCCGTGTTGGATTAAGTTTTGGTCCAGTGACACCTTTAAGACCAACAATGTTTTATTCAAAGTGTCAGGGGTCATTTTGTAGAAAAAGAGCTAGGGGAACTCATTAGCATAACTCATTAGCATATGCCACACCCCCTGACATCAGGGGCCCGGCGGTGGACCTGCAAGGCCGGCGGGAGTGCGAGGAAGCCCCGCCAAGGCCCTCCCTGGCCCCAGGCAGGCAGGGGTGGGGAGAGGCGGGGAGGAAGCAACTTACCCTCCCTCTTCTCCTGCCTCCTCCTGGCTGAATGAGGGCTGGAAGCGGGGCGGCCAGAAGCAGGGGGTGGGGCTTCGTCATGTGCCCCCCCCCTGCACCTCACCCGGGGGGACTGCGTTCCCCCGCGTTCCCCCCCGAAATGACCTCTGCAAAGTGTAAGTTTTCATGTGCAAAGTACACTTCTTTGCCTGAACTACTGCCTCTCACCCCAATGCTGCTTAGATTTCCTGTGAAAAGGTACAGAAAACAATTAGGGAGAAGCCAAATTCATCTCTAACTTCCTCTGCAGCCAGACTTTCCTGTAAGAGACTATGCTGTCACTGCACAACAGCAACCATTCGCACCTGAATTTTTCTAGTGTGGACAAGACAATGTAGCTGAGTAAAACAATCCATCTGGCATGGACAATCCAATGATGTTACAATACCCAGTGATGTGAGAATGCAGCCCTGGAAGCCATTTCAGAATGGGACAGCTCTTAGCGATGGAGGAGGATAACAGATGAAAGCTAGTGCTTAGTATCAGAGTGAACTAATTCATGTTATTGTTTAGGTTACTTATTGAGTGCCACGGCAGATCCTTAGGATGGAACTGTAGGATACAAAGAATTTACACGACAGAAAAAGGAGGAGGACATAAAAATTCTGAATGGTGCCCATATAGTGAAATAATTCAAACACTATGGAATAATCTATACAAAGACTTTTTAAAAACTAAGGAAAAATTAAGGTTTTTCATTATTCCATATAACATAGAAACAATTACAGCTAGTCCTTAATTTTTATTTATTTTACAAAAAAGCAGTTTGCGTCTTATTAATTCATTCTAGAAAATATCCCAAAGACAGTGCAGTCTTTAGCACTAGTATGAACAAAGATTACTTAGAAGAGATTTGGGCTTGGTCAGCAAAAAAAAAAAAAAAAGAGCGTTCCATGAATTTTAACTATCATGCTCTGAAAATGAAAACCTGTTTAAGTGAGTGTGTGTTAAGATGAGCAGCAATTAACTGGAATGTCAAACACAAATATGAGTATGACATTGTATTATAAGCAAGCATAGTTCTCACATGAAGCTGAGGCTTTGTTCAGTATGAAACAGCAGCATGCATACAATAAACTTGGTCTACAGCAACACAATGGAGCTGCGGTGGCTCAAGTGGTTAAGACGCTGAACTGCAGGCTGTGGGAGGTCGGTAGTTCAGCAGTTCAAGACCCGGGTGCCGCATGACGGAGTGAGCTCCCGTCTCTAGTTCCAGCTCCTGCCAACCTAGCAGTTCGAAAGCAAGAAATTGCAAGTAGATAAATAGGTACCACTTCAGTGGGAAGATAACAGGGTTCCGTGCGCCTTGGTGTTTAGTCATGCCGGCCACATGACCACAGAAACGTCTTCGGACAGCGCTGGCTCTTCGGCTTTGAAACGGAGATGAGCACCGCAACCCTAGAGTCAGATTCGACTGGCTTTCGAGCAAGGGAACCTTTACCTTTACAGCAACACAGCTGGTGTTCTGCATAAGCCAACTCAAAACTGTCACTGTCATGGGCTCAAAAGTGTGCACAAATAGGCCTGAAGTTAACCTAGCACATTTTATGTTGACCTGCATTCTGAGAACTCCATTACCATGCTTGTTATAGAATGAAACATTCTTTAGACATTTTATTGGATCAGGAGCCCAGAGGATTAGTAAGAAAACAGAATTTTACATTTCAGGAAAGCCACCAAACTGGTCATTGAAAGTATACTGGGAACAGAACAACATTACATAAGACACAAAGAAGAAAGAAGGTATCTCTGAAGTTTACATTTATCTTTAACTTAGTGCAGTGCTGAGTTACACCCTTCTAAAAGTCAATAGGTTTAGAAGGATGCAGCTCAGTTTAGGATTGCACTGCTAGTTCTTCAGTCCAAAAATGAGAACAAAAGCCCAACAGTTGGTATAAGACAACCAAAACGGGGGGGCTAACTAGATATTTTTATATACATTAAATTGAGTTTCATTTCTAAAAGAATGGTAATACAGGTTCATTTAGAAGTGTAAATAAAACACCAAAGTTACCTAATTTCAGGAATTGCTGAAAGTGAGAAATCAATTTAAAATACCCTGTAGAACTATTCAGATTACTATCCTCAACTGAAATGTCAGGTCTCCATTAAAACCTATCAGGCAGAAATAATGTGCCATTCATATGACTGCTCAGCTACTTAAACCAATATTCTGTCAGATCTACAGAAGAGTCGTCATTTCCCCAGCACTGTAGTGGGACAAATGTTATCATACTCCAGTAATGCATGGCTACCTTCTACTATTCTTCCAAATCTTAGGAGAAACTAAATGCATTCCTGAAACTTTACAATCCAAGAAATGCTGCTTGAGTTTAAGACAATTACATGCTGTCCATACTTACTCAGACACAAGCCAGTATTTCTCACAGTGGCTCCTCCACAATGGGTCATGATTCGAAATCTGATTTAATCTACGGCTTACACAACAGCAGCTGTAAATAGAGTCATTTTAAATTTTATCTCCAAGCCATAACAGAACCAGACACTGTATTTATCATTATTATCAACATTATGAATTTCACAGTGAAGCTGAAGAATTTGTTGAGCTTTAGAATAGTTTTAATTGATAATTTTACAGAGACTCTCCATACTCACTTTTATTTTCCTAGTAGAAAGAACAGTATGGTGGTTTAAATAAGCTACTGTCAAAATCCAAGAATTAATGTGTGATGTTTCAACATCAAGCTTTCCTGGTTCCTCTTTCCATTATAAAACCCAACAGAAGGGGTAGAGGAAACAAAACATCTGTCATGTAGTTACTGATAGTGCATACTTGGGTACAGCTGTCCAGGGTTAGAGATCAGTATCTGCACACACCACAGCAGAACAGTGTTGTCAGTTCTGCTCTCTTCCCCGTGCTCCTGCCCACTAACAGCTGGCTGGTGCTGATCTCCCTTTTGCATAGTTAAGCTTAATAAGGGCCTATCTCATAACTTCACAGATGACTTTATCACTACCTAGTTTGGTGTAAGTATGCATTGCCTATCTCACACTCCCCCCCACCCCAAACACACACACACACGGTAATGGTAGGCTAACCCCGCAGCAGTCCAGGATAAAGCCAAAGAATGAATTCAGTTCAAAGAACTGTTCATATTTATTAAAAAAATTACCTAACATTGTTAAGATGAGCAAGAATTAAAACTGTTTCTAAAAAGTTCCATTGTTTCACAGTGTCTGCTTCAGTATTTAGAACAAATATCAAATTAATTAAAATATTTTTGTGTCTCTAAGAAAGTTAATGTTTTAAAAATACTTGACCACAGTTTGACACCATTTCATCAGATAAATTCCCAATTGTAGTGTTACATTTATAAAACTGGCAGTTAAAATAACTGTTATACAACAAGACAATCCTATTGACCATAGCAACTGGATCTGTTCAGGTATTACTTTTCTCTTTGGTCGAATCTGCATTTGCATTTTTAAATCAGTTTCGTGCTGCTGTGACACCGTCTTTCTCTATGCTGGTTTGAACGTTGTTTTGAGAAGATTCTTTTAAAGCAGTGCGGAGGTGCAATGACAGTGGAGCCGCCATGAAAGGGCGATAAACATATGCGGACGTGCAAAAGTATGCTAGCACTGTTGAGGTGTGAAAACGAAACCAATTGTAGACAGCTTTTTTGAAGACGGAGTCAGAAGGCTGGGACACCGGCGGGAAAGACAAATGCAGGTTCGACCTTTGTTCAAACACAAGGAGACTGGACTCCTGTTCTTCCTCCCCTATTTCTACTCACTATGCACAGCAATAACACCAAAACCTAAAGACTCCATCATTATCTAAATGTTAGATCTCCATTACCCAAAGAAAAAGGACATCTGCAGAGTATCCTGGTTCACTTATTGGCCTGAATCCAGTGATGAATGAACAGAAATATAAGCCAACTTAGTGCAGTTCTGAATGTACAAGATCTTCTACAGCATCTAGTGCTTTCCTTTCTATAACTTTGTGCCCAGAAGTTGTTTGCACAATGCCTAGTGCAAGCAGAAAAATGACTACGGAAATCCACATTTTAGTAGATAAGTGGGCAAAAAAGGGAGGTGGAGCACAAAACTGAGGCCTCCTCCTAATCTTACTAGGGGTGAGGGAAGGGTGGTATTAAGACATTACGGCCTAAATCTTCATTTATTCCACAAGTTACCAATTATAGTATACAGATCTTTGAGAAAATTGTCTTAAGGGACATTGAAAAGTTAGAAAAACAAACAATGTTTTATAAATGTAATTTCTCTAGAGAAGAATGGATGACAGCTAGAGCATTAACAGAGGATGCTTCTATAACTATTAAGGAGGCAGATAAAGGAGGAGGGGTTGTAATATTAAATACCTCTGATTATGATAAGGAGAATATAAGACAACTCAGTGATGAATCTTGTTACAAAAAGTTGGGAAAAGACCCTACAGTCTCCTTGCACACTTTCAGATTCAACTAGCACATCTTCATGCAAGACACCTCTTTCAATAGGTGAAAATAACTGCAAAGCAATCAAAACTGTTTGTGGTAGTGCGGAAAGTAATGCAGCATCTAGCGGGCAGAAGAACAATAACTTTACTGATATAAGGAGGACTCAAAGATCAGTAGGAGACACAATATAGGTCGTTGAAGCCTGTTTTGTGAACTCCTTGGACAGCAACGTGATCCATCTAAATGGGAATTACCAAGATAATTTGGCAACCATGCCTCTCTCTCATGATTTATCACCTATGTTCACCTTGAAAGTTTTAAACTGCCGAGGATAGGACCTAAATAAAGAATGTTTTTACACAGAGGGTTGACAGGAATAATTAGTCTATACCAGACGTGTCTAAACTCATTTGTTATGAGGGCTGGATTTGATATAAATGTCACTTTGTTGGGCCGGGACATGGGTGCCATAAAATGTAATGCCAGGTACCAAAGATAGAAACTGTATAAAGGACAGCAGTTGAGAAGCTCTGAGTTGGTGTATCCTCAATGCAAGGCCCCATGGGCTGGAAAGGGGGTGCAGAGGAAAACCCACATCGGCAGACTGGAGTGACAGCAGTGAAGTGCTGGGCAGAAGCTCCCATGATGCTTGACTGCTGCAGATGAGGTTGTTCTGCTGTGCTGAAGCCACAATGGAGTGGTTCTGCCCAATCCCCCCCAGCACTTCCTCCCCTGCATCAGTCGTTCATGTGCCGCATAAGAGCCCTAGACAGGCCAGATCTGGCCCCCCGAGCCTTATGTTTGACACCCCTGGTCTGCACTGTTTGCAAAAGTATTTCAACACATTTAACACACTTCAATGTTCTACAACAGGTGTCCCCAATATGGTCCCTCAGAGCACCATGGAACCTGCCAACACCTTTCCTGGCACCCAGCAAGTATTTTTAGAAAGTTGGTGGGGCCAGATGGGGCTTTTGCTTAGCATGGCTTCTGACTGGCTGTGCAGATTTTTAAATGTAGCTTCAGCAGCAGCTGCCACCACAGTACAAAGATCTTTAATGTATGACTAAAGGTAAGCTGTGTGTACGTAATAAAAAAAATTCTTAAAACAATATGCTCATTTTAAAAGGAATCCTGTTAAACAGAGCTTCTGCCTGAAATGTACTAGAAGAAGAAGAGATTGGATTTATACCCCGCCTTTCACTTGGAGTCTCAGAGCGGCTTACAAACTCCTTTCCCTTTCCCTCTCCACAGCAGACACCCTGTGAGGTGGGTAGGGCTGAGAGAACTCTTGACACAAACTGCTCTTTCAGGAACAGCTGTGCCAGAGCTTGTGACTGACCCAAGGTCACATCAGCAGGTGCAAGTGGAGGAGTGGGGAATCAAACCCGGTTCTCCCAGATTAGAGTCCGCACACTTAACCACTACACCAAACTAGCTCTCTAGATTTACTACTAGTTATGCATAACATCACTCCCTGACATTCTGTGGTTGGCTCTGCCTCCTGTGGCAGTCATTTTATGGTTGTGCCTGCCAACCTGTGTCACAACTCCAAAGCTACCAGCAGACTCAAAAAGGTTGAGGACCCTGTTCTACAAGCACTCTGCTCATCCAACCACTCAAAACTCCTGCCTCCCTCTTTGGCTACCACAGATATCTATTTATTTATAACATATATATCCCCCCCCCCCGGTTTGGCCCACACAGGGCCACCAAGGAAGCTAACAACTGAAAGCAAAACATGAAACACATAGTAAAATCAATGAAAACCAAAAATAAAATACATAAAAACATCAATTAAAACAGAGCAGAAAGGAGAGGTCATCCCCAAAGAAACAAAAAAGTTAAATTATGGAAAGGGATAGATGAATATCCCAGAGGAGAGAGTTCCACAACTGAAAAAGACTTCTCTTGAGTTTGCACTATGTTCTTATTTGCTGCTGAAGGACAAAACAGATATGAAATGGCTAATTCCAAATGCATTTCTTTTTTAAAATGAGAAACAGCCACAAGATACTGGAAATTTGATTAGAGGGACAGTAGGAAAGACACACTTAGCCTTTCCCCCTCCAACCATTTTCCCACTCAAAACTATCCATGCTGCTTTTCTATCTGTGGGACAAAGAGACATGGATAGCTCTCTCTTTCCTACTCACATTGTGGGTATAAAGGGAAAAGTATTAAACAACATCTCCTCCACTCCATGACAGCTTCCTATTACTACTTTTCATTACAGGAGAAAAACAGTCACAGCTTTCATGAAATGTGTAATTCAGCCTTAAACTTTCAATGCTACTTAAATTCCAAGGAAGTGCAGTTTCCTAAGATTCGCTTTTGGCCTCTCTCTCTTATACCACAAAGCTAGTCCCTCCACACTGAAAATCCTACCAATTCACATCTCCTTCAGTAACAGGATTTCAAGAACCCACTCTGTGGTGGCATTAGGGCAGGACAGCTTCAACATGTTGCACAGAAGAACAAACCACCTGTTGAGAGCCAGACTATGGTGAAAGAAACCGGTCTGTCAGCACAAAAACAGCTTGGAGCTCTTTTAAAGACACTTATTACCAGGAAAACCTCACACTGTGTAATCCAGAACAGCTCTTCATACTTAAGCCACTAGTGAAGAAAAAAAACGATCACCTCACCTTCACAGACTGGGACACCTCCCTTTTCAGAAAATATCCCCATCCCCCCGCAAAATGACTTTTAACTCTAGGAACAGCCCCCTTTCCTCGACCCTAATTTCTCATTAAGACACCTTCCATTATACGACCCACCTAGGAAGCCTACACAAGCGTTTGGGAACAAGAAAAGTCGGCCCCGCGCTTTCCATCTCCTGTTCTCCTAACCGATGACTCTCATCCCTTCTCTCCCAGTTTGGGGGGACAAGTGCTGCAGGAAGGAAATATTCAGCAGTTGCAAAGAGGTGAAATGCGGCACAAAGCAACGC